GTTGAAAGATTTTTTTGAACAAAAATTCAATTTGATACTTTAAAAATTAGTATATATTGTTCTAAACACAAAAGAACTCAAAACATCAAAATAAGAAAATACCGTAAATCAAAAAAAAAAAGGTTTACTGTTATTTAGTTTGGTTCAAACCTACAAAATCTTCATTGCTTTCACTGTTGCTTGGAAAGGAATCATTGGATCCAATATTCTGGTCAAAGAGAATGTCATCCTCGGTCCCACCCATTGCATTACTGATACCCCATTTCTTAAATGACTTAATCACTATATCGGTATCTTCCTTCGTCCTGTAGGGGTCGTAGCAAAATCTTCCTGCTGCATCCAGTTGTTCCATTCCTCTCTCATTAAAGTCTTAAAGGATTTGTCAATAGAAACATCAAGAGGTTGCAGTTGACTTGTTAAACCAACGGGTATGACATCCAGCTATGTTTTTAGCTTATTAGCTTTTTCCTTTATTTTTTTTCCATTTTATGAGCTCTAAAGGAATCTCAGACGTGGAGAGAAGGCTTTTTTAATAAACCTCCTGCTTTGCATTAAGCACTCTGATTGGTCAAGCGCATTGCACATTTGAATCCAAGGCAAGCACTCAAAAACGATTTTTTATTTGTTAAAGTTAGGCCTGAAACGGCCTTATTCTGCTCCAAATTAAACAGGGATTGTCGTGTATTTACAAGCTTTTTCACTCTCATCCATAACTATAATTTCTTTTTTTATTATTTAGGGAGCATTATAAATAGTTATGTTTTTAAAAGAAAAAAAAAAAACTACTATTATTATAAATAACACATTCAATTGAACTAAACTATGCATGCCTATTTAAATATATTTACACATGGCTTGTGTATATCATATATGTACATATATATTATTCATACCTTCGGTGTATAGGATGCAAGCAGATTTTGACATCAAATTTTGGGGTAAAAAAGTGTGTCTTATACACTGAAGAATACGATACCAATATTAGGACATAAAACTTGAATTATATAGGTATATAAGGATGAAATGTATTGCATTTCACTCAAACTGGAGTCTGGCATGACTAGAAAACTTCAGAAACACAGTAAATTACAAAGTAGGCTACATAAAAAGTTGCACTTTGAAACTTGAACATTAAGGCACGTCACTGATAGAACACGCATAGAACACTGATAGAGTTTGGTTCTTGTATTTTCACAAAATCTATGAATTATTTTCTACTTTCTTTATATCACTAGAAAGTTCTCATATTATTATTTTTGTTGTTGTATTTTCAAGTATCTTAAAACTGTACACAACATTCCAACATTATGTTGTTTGCATCTGAATAAAACTTAATAATCTCACTTAAGCTGATAAAATATCAAAATCTTGTCAGGCAGCTGCCACAAAAAACATAATGCGAGAAACTTTAATTTTCCCCCCAATAAAACAAGTTTTGAAAACATATATTGTCTTAAAACTAGATATATTTGCTATTAAACATATGAAATAGAAAGAAAATACCAAAAATATTAACTTATGCTTCTAAACCTGAGATACTAAATTACACTACTAAATCTAATATTGTTACTACTAGACAGATGGAACAGAAACAAAACACCTACAGATACTAAACAATGCTAGTAAACCTTGTACAGTTGCCACTAGACAGATGGAACAGAAACAAAACACCTACAGATACTAAACAATGCTAGTAAACCTTGTACAGTTGCCACTAGACAGATGGAACAGAAACAAAACACCTAAAGATACTAAACAATGCTAGTAAACCTTGTACAGTTGCCACTAGACAGATGGATTGGAAACAAAACACCTAAAGATACTAAACAATGCCTGTAAACCTTGTACAGTTGCCACTAGACAGGTGGAATGGAAACAAAACACCTACAGATACTAAACATTGCTAGTAAACCTTGTACAGTTGCCACTATACAGATTTAACAAAAAAAAATACCTAGAGATCATAAACAATGCCTGTAAACCTTGTATAGTTACAACTAGACAGATGGAATGGAAACAAAACACCCATAGATGCTAAACAATGCTTGTAAACCTTGTAAAGTTGCCACTAGACAGATGTAATGGAAATAAAATACTTAGAGATAATAACCTATGCTGGTAAACTTTGTATAGTTGTCACTAGAGAGATGTAACAGCTACTAACCTATGCTTGTAAACTTTGTATAGTTGTCACTAGATAGATGTAACAGATACTAACCTATGCTTGTAAACTTTGTATAGTTGTCACTAGATAGATGTAACAGATAATAACCTATGCTTGTAAACTTTGTATAGTTGTCACTAGATAGATGTAACAGATACAAACCTATGCTTGTAAACTTTGTATAGTTGTCACTAGATAGATGTAACAGATACTAACCTATGCTGATAAACTTTGTATAGTTATCACTAGATAGATGTAACAGATACTAACCTATGCTTGTAAACCAGATACAGTTGCCACTTTTGAGATGGAACAGATAATAACCTATGCTGATAAACTTTGTATAGTTGTCACTAGATAGATGTAACAGATAATAACCTATGCTTGTAAACTTTGTATAGCTGTCACTAGATAGATGTAACAGATAATAACCTATGCTGATAAACTTTGTATAGTTGTCACTAGATAGATGTAACAGATAATAACCTATGCTTGTAAACTTTGTATAGTTGTCACTAGATAGATGTAACAGATACTAACCTATGCTCGTAAATCAGATACAGTTGCCACTTTTGAGATGGAACAGATAATAACCTATGCTGATAAACCTTGTATAGTTGTCACTAGAGAGATGTAACAGATACTAACCTATGCTTGTAAACTTTGTATAGTTGTCACTATATAGATGTAACAGATACTAATCTATGCTTGTAAACTTTGTATAGTTGTCACTAGACAGATGTAACAGATAACAACCTATGCTGATAAACCTTGTATAGCTGCCACTTAAGATAGATGTAACAAAAAAAAACACCTAGAGATACTAATCAATGCTTGTAAACCTTGTTCAGTTGCCATTCTATATATAAAATCTCTCTGTCTGTTTGTTTGCTTACTTGTTTGTCCACCCCATTCATTGTGCAGGTCACACTTCCCTCACGTGAAGGTGTGCAAAATGACTATTCTTTCTTGATATACGCGTCTATTGCCTGCTAGCCAATTCGGTAATTTTATCGTTTTACATGGTTGTGATTCTATGCAAGCTTGACATTTTTTGGTAAGTTTGAGTTAACATTTAATTTAGAATAGATAGGTCTATTTAGTTACACATCATTAATTACAGATCAACTGATACATCATATATTTAACCTCACACAAAAAAGAAATATATGCACAATTAGAATGTTGTGTATTAAAACACAAAAAGTAGGCCAAGCTTATAAAATAAAATTATTACTGGAAACAATAACAGGGAAACATGTTTTCATCCCACGTATACCATTAATTCCAACTGATTTTCCCTTCAAGTTCAAACGCCTGCAGTTCCCAGTCAAATTAAGCTTTGTGATGTCAATCAACAAAGCACAGGGCCAGTCTATGAAAGTAGTGGGACTTGAATTCATATCACCATGATTTTCACATGGACAACCTTATGTTGGATGCTCAACAGTGGGGAAAAATAAGGGCCTATTTATCCTTGCCAGTGAGGGAAAAACAAAAAAACCTCGCTCATAAGGAAGCCCTGATTTAAAACATGTTCATAGTTTATTTTCAAAAATCAAAGCTAAGGTTGTTTTTTTCATAAATTCACAAAATATTTTTTACCTATCAAAATATGGAACAGGGAAACAAAGAGAGTAGGTCTTTTTTTTTTCAAAAGAGCCTACTCTCTTTGTTTTCCTGTTGCCCGGGTAACGATGCTAGAATTGAGATATAATGGAAATAAAATACTTAAAGATACTAACCTATGCTTGTAAACCTTTTATGGTTACTACTATAGAGATGTAATGGAAATAAAATACTAGACATATGTAACAGATAATAACCTATGTCGGTAAACCTGATACAGTTGCTACTAGATAGATGAAACAGTTAATAACCTATGCTGGTAAACCTGATACACTTTCCACTAGACAGATTTAACAGATAATAAACTATGCTGGTAAACCAGATACAGTTTCCACTAGACAGACAAAATAGATAATAAACTATGTTGGTAAACCTGATACAGTTTCCACTAGACAAATGAAACAGATAATATCCTATGCTGGTAAACCTGATACAGTTTCCACTAAACAGATGAAACAGATATCCAATGCTGGTAAACCTGATACAGTTGCCACTAGACAGATGAAACAGATAATAACCTATGCCGGTAAACCACATACAGTTTCCATTAGACAGATGGAACAGATAATAAACTGTATCAGGTTTACCAGCATAGCAGTTTCTTATTTTTTTCTAACCTAATGGCTGTGTGTATGTAATGTCTTAAAATTTATGTTACAATTATACCTTAGAACTAAAAGTTACCTTTCCCTAGGTGGTATTTGGATGCTATGTTATGTATAATATTACAAGTAGAAGTTAATATCTCTAGATGATTTACTTCCCTTCCATCTGTCTAGTGGCAACTATCAGATTTATAGCATAGGATATTATCTGTTTAGTGGCAACTGTATCAGGTTTACCAACATAGGATATTATCTGTTTCGTCTGTCTAGTGGAAACTGTATCTGGTTTACCAGCATAGGATATTATCTGTTAAATCTGTCTATTGGAAAGATTTTCCTGTGATGTTTCATTATATTTACTCTCCCACAAGACAGATTCTTTGTTTCAGTCAATTTTCCTGTGATGTTTCACTATATTTACTCTCCACAAGACAGATTCTTTGTTTCAGTATATTTAGTATAAAAGAAGACAGGTCATTTCATTGTATTCACTATTAAAGAAGACAGATTGTTTTACTATATCCACTATTGAAGAAGAGAGATTTTTTCACTGTAGTTATCACTCCAGAAGACAGATTCTTTGTTAATCAATGAAGAGAACATGTCATATTTCCCAAGGTCATCAGATATCTTGTATGTATAATACACTAGATTGCTAGATTAATAAATTGAAACTTTTAAGCAAATCAATAAAAAATTCTTCTTCTAATTGCCCAATCTAAGTAGGACTTGGTCAAGGTATTATACTTAATTATCCACATTACTTTTGAGTTTTTTTTCTTGTTGTAACTTTAATTGAGCATTTAAACATGCCAATTAGGCCTATATAAACAGCAATATACATTATGTATCTAACTTGTACAAAATGTTTGTAATAAAATAACTTGAATGAATCATTCTTACATATAATTTACACAATCTTGTGTTAACACCTAAAGACAATCTGAAGGTCAAGCTTACCTTGAAATCTTTGTTATTCACATGTTCAAATATTAAAGCTGGTGTTCGTGACTGAAAAAGATAAAAACTTAAGATATAATAAATAATAATACTATAAAATATTTCACATCTCTGGTTTAAATCTAAATTAATCAAACTCTTGTCTGTACAAGTAACTTGTAACTTCTCTGTATCTCATATTTAATAAAAAAGAATATTAACTCTTTTGCAACAAGGTCAAAGTAGGCATGTCACAACCTTTTACCGAGTTACATTTAAAATTTAATTCAACTACTTTATTATAAAATCTATAGAAATAAACTTAGCATCAAAATATAGTTAATTAATTAAATGTTAATACCATACAAATTTTAAGTTCTTAAATTTTTTCAGGAAATATTTAAGCATATTATTAATCTTCTCTAGTATGAGAATTATGACATTTGCTATGTCTGCCCTCTTCTCTAATTTATTTACCACACATTTGAAAAGTATGGAATTTAATGTAAATTACTCATAAATACTCAAGCAAAGCATCATTTTTATAGCTTTCTATCATATTTGTTTATGGAGTCATAAACTATAAAATCAGACCCACCTATCATATCCTCTCTTTCACAAATTGCTAATAGTTTTCTTAGATGACATTTTATACTATATTATTTATAACCAATAGAAAGCCAAAACTTAATCTATTAAATGACATAATATATTACACTGTTTTCTGTAGAAGGCATTGTCCATTTCATTGTTTAGTTTCAACTTTATTTTCATGGTAATAACATCAACGAATTTAGCTGAATTTTGAAAGGCTCTTAACTTATAGTTAGAAAAACCAGTAAAATTATGATAGTTATAGAACATTATTGGCTTTTACATGTTATTATTCTGTGTTCTTAGGTGTATTATGTAATTAAATAAAAAAACTATTTAGTGTAGTAGTAGTACCATTAGTGTAAAAAAGCAGGCTTAAGTTTCTTCAACATTCAAAAAATGAGGTGATGACCCAGGTAAGTACTATATTTCTAGTTTTTCATGTACATTCTTTATCAGTGATTATAAAAGTAAAAAAAAAAGTTTGTTTGTTTGTCAGCAAACTGCTCTGTGGTCTTCCAACCAATCTCAACCATACTTGGTTGGATGATACATTGGACTAAGGGGCATGTCAGAGGGTGGTTATTACCTAGTACCCCTCATCATGGGCTACGCCCACAGGAAAAATAACAACCAAAACACAAGGTCAGACCCTTAACCCTTTTGTGACAGGCTCAGTATAATATACACAAGTTAAATATTGAATCTATAACTTTTAATGCAGTAAGTATATCTTCACAAAATTGAGTAGACTTTTTGTAAAGTTTACAAGTCTTTCGTATAGAAAAAATCAGACTTTTTAATAAAGTATTTTCTTAATTATTGATTTGTTTGTGAAAATAATGAACGTTTCGTTAACAGCCCAAGTGTGAAGTGATTTTCATGTTATAACTAAAAAACTATTATTTGTCCCAAAAATCTCAAATATTATTTATGTAATCTCTAAAACCTCCTAAATACATTTCAGACGTTTGTTTCTGTTATTTTACTATACTGACCTTCCAACCATGCCTGACTAACAATACAGAAGTTACAATGAAGTGATTTTCATGTTATAACTAAAAAACTATTATTTGTCCCAAAAATCTCAAATATTATTATGTAATCTCTGAAACCTCCTAAATACATTTCAAATGTTTGTTTTCAATAAATCTTTGTTTTTTCTGTTATTTTCTCTACCCAACTCTATGGGGGTCTGTGAATTTGACCAGCCTCATAACCACCATAAAAAATTAGGAAATAAATATAAATTATGCATTTTTCATTCTAAAATGACTACAGATTATAACATGAAATGTTTAGCCTAAATAGCTTAAATCTCATAACATTATAAATTTATATATACTTATTATTCTTATTATACTGACTTTCCAGCCATGACTGGCTAA